TTTTTTTTTTTTTACATATTGCAACTTAATTTTACATGGGTTGGTCTAACACTTTCAGATTTTCCGTAAATATCGGTGGTTGATTTTTGGTGTTATAAATTTGAGGACATGCTCATGTTTGGCTGTTACTCTGCATTCTTCCACAATACTACTATAAAGTAAACTGATCTGCTTCAAGCCATCTATGTGGAGACAAACTGAAACTAATTTATTTATTACAGGTTAGAAAACCAGGTCGATAGAAATCTGTGAGCTGGGCCAACCTGAGGTAATGAAGTGGGCCTCAAGAATGATGGGTACCCACTCTGCCCACAGAGTTGAGGTCCCAGGACTGTCCAGCCCAGCCCAGCTCTGCCTGGCCCAGTTTAGTGCAGTCAGAAGAAGGTTAGGTTCCTCCCTGGCTCTTGCTGAAACATACGTTTCTAGGGCCCAAAGTATCAACTAACTACAACTGAAAAATTAATGCTACTGTCTTAGTAGGAAATATAAAGGCAACATTGGAATTTTATAATAGTTCCTCCATTGTAATTCATTAGTGACTTTAATAATGGAAAGTTCTGACTCTGAAATATTTGGATGGGGATGACTAGTAGAGAGCTTGGCAATCAGAGACTTTCATTATCTTTTAATTATTTATCTAACCAGAGACGTTTACTTTTTGGTACCCTAGCAGTGACTTTGGGCTTTAGCAATCTTTTGAGCATTGATGATTAATAATGAACAATGTAGTATATTTTTAAATAAACAACATAAAAGTTTAATTTGTTGTTATATTGCCGAATGAAAGAGAAATTTGAAAATACAATCTCGTGTTTGTATCTACACTGTATATTTTTCCTCACTCCCATCTTATATCAGGAGCCCAAAGTTTTTTTGCCTAGTGATGCAAAAAACCCATTCAAGTTAATATTCAACAAAAAAAGGGAAAAAATTGATCACTAACGGATTTTCAAGTATATAAAACAGAGAATAACAGTAAGTACTACTAAGCATTAATTTATGCCAGGCATTCTCTAAATGCTCTCTGTATGACTGCATTTGATCCCCGCCAGAGAATTTCATGTAGTAAGTACAATTATTAATTTTATGAGTACAACTTATAGTCAGTACACTATGGACCGGAACCAAGGTGCCACGCTGGAGAGCCCGCGAACTTATCTCTCACAGCATAAGATCAAATTTGTATCACTTCCTTGAGTGGGACAAATTAGGGGAGAAAAGTCCATTCCAGGCATCATTCAATTAACTAAAGGATACCTGTGTGACTACACAATTACTTAAACTCCAAGCTGACTCGACAATCATTTAAAGAAGTAACTTAGATGTGCTTTATTATGCGATTGATTTCACTATGACTCCATTACCTTACGTTTGGTTGCCTAGAGTCAAAAGGCTTACGTCATTCTTTCCAGACACCTAAACAAAATTTTTTTAACTGAGGAGGGGGGAAAAAAAATACAGGAACTGGGGCTGGTAAATATTTATGTCAATTAAATTGCGTATGTAAAATAAAACAAAGTACTGTTGTTAACGTACCCAACATGACAGTGTTTGAAACCTCATTTTGGTGAGATCACGCGTGGGTACTGCCACTGGCTTCCCAGCACTACGGCAAGAGACGCTGGTGAAAACTCAGTAGGGTCCTGCTTGTACTACGTAATTTGCAAACGGGGGGCACACCCACTCCAGGGCTCAGGCTGCTGGTCACGCGCTTAACTACCCAGCGGTACCGCGGGAAGAGCGGTCGGGTCCGAAGTGTCCACGGAACTGAAGTGCGAACCGCCGCTTGCCCCCGGACTGTATTTTGAGAGCGCCGGGGGCGGGGCCTGGCCGCCGGAGCCGGGCGGGCTGTGGGGCTCAGCGAGCGCGGCGGGGCTTGCGAGGGAAGCGGCGAGTGCGGTCTGCTGCTGCGAGACTATGCTGAGCGGAGCGCTCGGCCGGGTCGCATGTGCGCTGCGGAGGTCGCGAGCACTGCAGCCTGGGGCCTCTCTTCGGTGCCTGCACACGTCAGGGTCGCGGCCGTCGGTGGACCGGCGCGAGAGGGCCGAGGGCGCCTTCGACCCGGCGCTGCTGGAGTTCCTGGTGTGCCCGCTCTCCAAGAAGCCGCTCAGGTGAGATTGGCCGCTTGAGGGGGCCGGGCGCGGCCTGCTGGTGCGGGTGGAAGCCGGTGCGTCGCGCGGCCTCGGCAGCCATGGGATTCCGGCCCGTGCGGCTGTCGTCCGCTGCCATTTTCTGCGACTGGGCCGACTCCGGGGACCTCCCTCTGCGGCGCGAAGGGCGGGAGGAGGCGGGAGGGGAACTGGCCCCCGGCCCCGGGAACCCGACCCCGGCCCGCGGTCAGGGGACAAAGCAACCAGAGGCCGGCCGCTGGCCGCCCCGGAAAATGGCCATTGATTTCGGAGCGCTGGCTCCCGCAAACCGAACCGGAAGGCCTGGGGCCCTGACCGAGCTTGTATGTATTTTAATAAAAGAACCCAACTTTTTAGTAACTGGGGGGATTCAGGACTCTTCAAGGCGCTCACATTCTAAAGCCAAGATCACGAAAAACACTGTCGTAGCCTCCAGATGCTGGTGAGAATACCTTGTGCCGTGGATACCTGACGATGCTAAGCGTTATATTCAGCGCCTCTTAGTTCTGGACTAGATGGGCTTTTGCAAAGGCCTCGTTAACCTTGAACCTGGAGTCTCGAAAGACACTGCACTTTCAGCCACTAAAACTGAACATTGGCAACTCCTCAGTTGCAAATTGAGTAAACCAAACACCAAAATGTTAACAGTGGTTTTCTTTGACTTGTTGATTGCTAGTAATTTTTATCTTCATCTTTTAGCATTTCTCTTGCTGGATTTTCCCCCATAATGTAGCATTCAGTTTTTTTAAAGCTTGAAATTGCTAATTGATGTACCTTTTAGACAATTTTAACTAGTTAATTGCACACTTCTTTCTAGTTTCCTTATTTTTGTTCTCACATCTTTCTCAAACTTTTAAATTTTGTGTATTGAAGTTTTCAGTGGTTTGCCCTGATGGATCAGATAGGCTGCTTTATTGAGCATGTTAGAAAATGGCGACGTTGAGTTTTTCTGTTTCTTCTCCTAGGTCAAATTAATGGGACACTTTTGGGCTGACCAGAGGGTAGATCTTTTCCTGACTTGTGTAAAGAGAAAATTAGGGCGCACTTTGAGAGTGAAATGGAAAGGAAAATGTGAGAGAAACCGACTAAAATAAGAAAAACTAGAAACTCATTTTCTAGGAGAAATGGTTCAGTCAATTACTGCTATTTTTATAGTTAGAATTCTATTTTCCTGAGGTTAATTATGTCAAGAATTGGATAAAAGGTATTTATGGAACACAAAAGTTTCCCTAGGCGTTTTCCCATTAAAATTTCATCTTTGTTTTTCTTCCCCCCTTTCAGATATGAAGCATCAACAAATGAATTGATTAATGAAGAGTTGGGAATAGCTTATCCAATCATCGATGGGATTCCTAATATGATACCACAGGCAGCTAGGAGGACTCAGCAGTGTAAGAAGCAAAAAGAGTAACATCAGAATTTAAAACTACACAGCAGTTCATTTTTTTTACCTTCTACCTGATCAAAAGTCACAGTGGCGGGGAATAACTGGGGGAGAAGAATGTTTTTGTCTCTTCCCACATTGACTGTCCTTATTCCACTGGTGTCTTTAGCAGGACTGTTCTACTCAGCCTCTGTGGAAGAAAACTTCCCACACGGCTGCACTAGCACAGCCAGCCTGTGCTTTTACAGCCTGCTCTTGCCCATTACCATCCCAGTATATGTGTTCTTCCATCTTTGGACGTGGATGGGTATCAAACTCTTCAGGCATAATTAATGCAACAAGAACCAAGATGGTATATGTCAGTAACTTGGCTTTGAGCAACTCTGAAAGCTCAACTCCGTGGAAATACTGGAAATCCACTTAATTTGTGGGAAAGATGCTTTACCTTGGTAAGAGGAGGTGTAAGCTGCGGAAGCATCTTTTATTGTATTTTTTGTTTTGCCTTTGTTTTCAGATTTTAATTTAAATCAGAAAAACATTTCAGCAAAATCTTGGAAACTAACAGACCCACCTATTAATCTGATGATTATTTCTTACCCTATTATCTTAGAGTTAATAATTTGAAATTCTATATTTCAGAATCTTTGGTGAAGCTACATGTTAAAGATGACTAAGATATTTTTAAAGGCGCTATATTGGAGTGATTAGTAGAGATATACATTTAAAACAGCAGTAAAATGGAAACTTTACATAAACTTTACATACTTGCAAAACTTTGGTGTTTGTAAAATTACCTTTATTTCTTTGGCATCAAATGCTTACATTAAAATAAGATGTTAACACTTTCAAAAGGAAAATTGTGTTTTTTGGGGAGAGAGATGGTCCAAATAGTGATTCTAAGGAAGGGGAAATGTAAAAGTGCGCCAAAAATTTTAAATGTAGGCTATGTCTACAGAGGTAATTAATACTAAAATAGAATAACTCCCCAGAAAAATATCTACCTTTGGGGGTTGAGGTGGAGTTGTAATGTTTATAAATAAATAGCTGACTGTGTCCTCTTGAGCTTAGTTATTTTTTGGACTCAGCTATTTTCTTGCTTTGGGAAACCTACTTGGCACCACTAGAGCATGAGAATTGACAAGATTGGTTATGATTTTTCCACAAGATTAATTGAGAATAGTACAATTACTAGTTCAGAGGTATAGTATAAATATTTCAGTAGTTACCTTAAATCTATTAGTTGACTATAAACTTAGTTGAATCTTAAGAATTTTAGTTTAACAGAAGCTTGAAACAGTATTCTTTAAAATAAAATAAAAACAGGATTAGTTGTGTTTTCTGTTTACATTAGTTCAATGTAAATACAGTACAAACGTAGTAGAGATCCCCATCATTTCCTAGGGGTTCGTTCTTTTTCCTGACCCCAAATCTCACTGTGGTTAGTGTAAATAATTGTGCCAATAAAACAAGCACTAAATTCTGAAAAGTCACTGTAGCATGTACAAATGAAATATTTTATCATTTTAGAGGTAACTTCCTGGGAGATATCAATGCCATTCTCAAATAGAATTTACTTAATAGTCGCCTGTATGGTACCAACAGTACACTAGGTATGGCTGTAAGCATGTTACACATACTTTTCAATCCCTAACCTGAAGAGAAGAGTCAAAAATGTTAGCATTATCTGAGGGGGATGGGTTCTGAGACATCCCCCACCTCCATGGGATGCCTGAAACCTTTCATAGTATTTATATGATCTGTTATTTTATAAACTAGGCTCTAGGAAAATGAATAAGCAATATAAAGTACAACAGTATAACATTCTACATAATGTTTTCAGACCATTGTTGACTTTGGGTAACTGGAAAGTAAAACTTCAAATAAGGAGGGATACTATATATACATATATATGTATATTTATATATGTATACTATATATACATATGTGTGTGTGTATAACACACATTTTTTTTAAGATTTATGCATACAGGACTGGAGTACTGGCCAGACGTGGGGGTTGGGGGTGAAGAAGATTCTCCAGAGACACAGTAGGGAGCAGAACAGGCAGATGGACAAAATGCACTGCTGAGGGGAGCAGCAGGTGGGTCAGGAGAGGTCTGACACTCCATGTGCGTCAGTTCCCTGGCAGGGGATTGAACTCATGCTGCAATGGCTGCAGTAGCTTCATGGTGCTGTGCTTTAATCCGCTGTGCCACCAGGGAGGGCCCGGGATACTATATTTTACAAAAGGTACAAGCACAGAGAAATCTGGTGACGTACACAGGGTAACTCAGCAATAATTATGAAATTCAATCATTAGCAATGATTTTGTCACAAGGAAATGAAAGACCCAGACTGTGAGCCCTGACCTGTACATTTAGGAACCTAGGACAAGACCAAAAGCAGACGGGTAGAAAGAAATGAACAAGAGAGAGGTTTATGTATAAGCCGTGTGAGAGTAAGGAGAGGGGATTGCCATTAGATAAAATAACAATTATAACAAAGTATTGTTGAGTTTTACATGCAAATGTGGAAGCAACATCTCAGTATCTCACATAGGCTCTGACGTGATAGGAAAGAACTCACCAGAATGCTAGGTATAGTTGAACAAAGCAACGTTTTATTAGTGACTCATGCATGAGAGAACCTGTGCCAGAAAGGAGAATTGAACTTTTTTCCTCAGAGGGATTTAGGAGGAGATTTTTGAAGGTAAGTCCATGAGGTGGGGAAGAAGAGAACAATTCACAGCCTCTGGGCTGGGCATCCTCAGGTTATACTCCAACTACACATCAGGGCTCTTGAGCTTCTCCAGGACACTGAGATAATTTTTAGTAAGAAGCTTATGCTTTTTGTCCAGCATGGCTCCTTACAGACAGTGTGGCGGGCCAGGTGGTTTGGACAGGGTTCATTAGTCCATGATTTAGTCTAGCTGTTCAAACAGAACTTGAAGCAACTCATGCAGGCTCAAAATTCTTTTACCTTTGCTGTCTCACTAAGAGTAGGTCTGCAATTTTAAGATTTCTCAGATGCCCATACATTGTTAGTAAGAATTTAAAATGCTGTGTAACTTCTTGGGAAAGCAAGTGGACTTCATTCAGAAAGGTCAATGTAGTTATCCTTTAACTTGCTAATGCTGTTCCTACTATATACTCAAGGGAAATGAAAACATGTCTACACAAAAACTTGTACACAAATGTTCAGTGTTCTAGGATTTGTCACTCTAGGGGGAGTCCACAGGGACAGGCATCATCTCCCCCACCCCTGCTACACCTCAGCTTGGACTACAACTCGCAGAGTGCCACAAATGACTTCGGGTGGAGGGTGGGGTGCTGCAGAATTGAGCAGCCAAGTGTACCTTCAAAATACTGAAGGCAGGTGGGCCTAACTCTTGCTTTTTTAGCTTTGATTTACCTCCTGGTGACCTAGGGGTTAAGCCTCAGTGTTGTCACTGCTACAGCCTGGGTTCGATCCTCAGCCAGGGATTAACCCACATATGGCACAGCGGACCTGTCTCACCTGCTGCTCCCTGCAACAGTGTATTTCAGTTACCTGCCTGTTTGGGTGTCCACTCTGTCTCTGGTGAATCCTCTCACCACCTAGCACCTCTGGCCTACATCCCAGTTCTTCTATGCAAAAATCAAAGAAAAGAAAAAATATGAAATTTCAGCCATGCTATTACTATGGGTATGTGTGGAGCGAAAAGGCTGTTCCCTTTTCCAAGTTTGTCTTGATGAAATTCTCCGTTTACAGGTGACGGCTGTGTTCAGCAGCTGCCTCTAGGTGGCACTCTTGGCCAACTCGCAGCATTACCACCAACTAAGCTTTCAGAAGGAAACAAAAAGGATTTTTACTTGGAGGAGGAATGTAAGGGAATCAAATAAGGGATCAGGAACAAATAATAATAAATAAAATTAACAGGCATTTATAAGTCAGAGACATTATGCAGGGATTGGGGGATAAGTGCACAAAGGACCGGCTATTCTGCATGGGTGAACTGGGGGGTGTGGATTTTATTGACTACACCTGAGAAATCAAAAACGTACAAAAATGAAGTGATGTAAAATATATGTAAATAAATAATTTTTAAAAAGGTCTGAGCTAGGTAGTCACTCTACAAACAACATTATCTTATCCTGACAGTTACTGGAGACCGTGATAGCAGAAGTGAGTCCTGAGGAGCCAGCGGCAGTAACTCATACCGAAAAGGTAAAATTGGAGAGGTGAGGAAGGAGAAATGGGGGTGGGATGAGAAAAGAATTCCAGAGGAAAAGGCACATGTGAAAACACGGGCTTCCCTGTGGCCCATTTGGGAAACTGGTAACTACAAATGACCAGAACACACTAAATATGCTGGGCAATGAAAGAGAAGGCTGGAGCTGTCCAGGGGGTGTGTCAGGAAGGAGCCACGTGTCACTAAAGTTGGGCATTGTTGCCCGATTTTCACACCATCATTCCTACAGCTCATAAATACAATAGCTTTTTTTCCCCCAAAAAGAAAATAATAGAACATGCAAAATCACAGGGCATTTCTATGGACTGAGACTGCAAGGGCCAAGGAAGGAGTCACTATTTGTACAGGTTGCATGCAGGTATCAAGCACTTAAAAGGTGGCTAGTGTGGCTGAGCTTTAATTTTAAATAGCCACATATTAGAAAGCATAGCTCTACACTGTGTTACTACTATTAGTCAATGAGGGTTCTCTCTCCAAAATTTTCAGAGTAATATAGCAAGGATCCACTGATCAAACAGTTCAGCTACAGATCTCCATCACAGATTCTTGCATCAGATGCTTGCAAGTCTAGGTACAAGACTAGTTTGGAAGTGACTCCACAGAAAGGACAGGAGACAACAGTTTGAAGTAAATTATTGGCTGTCAGATATTTTACAACTAGAATTACAAGGATTTGACTGATTTATGGGAGGTGGGAGTGAGCAGGTGGCAATGGAAGATGACTGCAGGCTTCTGCCTGAGGTAGCAGAGGCACTGCCCTAGGCTGCGAACACAGGGAAAATGATCGTTTTCTTCAACTTGAGGTTAAGGAGCCAGGGAGCATGCAAGCAGAAATGCCACTGAGAAAAATGGCTTTCGTGCAAGGATTGACCAGTTCTTGTGTGTCGGTGAGAGACATGGATTCACTGAAACCATGGAGCTGAAAGGAGCATGTGTGGCATGAGGAAGAAGGCTCCACTGGCGCTAAGTGTGATAGACATGCAAGTAGATGACAAGTTCAAATGCTATTGATAGGACTTAAGATGAAAATGGACAAACTTCCACTGAAGTTTGTAAGAAGAAAATCATCTGTGATTTTCATTAGAGCAGTTTGTATGGAAGAAACACCAGTTCAGCCCTGAACAAACTATCAGGATGCTTAGAAGAGGAAAAACTATCTAATTTAATGGACTTGGCACATAGTTTGGGGGCACTTTAACAGCTGAATTGGTATCATTTCTAAGTATATCTAACATGCAAATGAGAACAATTTTGAAGGAATAGGTAAACAATGAAAACTGAGTAAGACTTTTGTATGAAATTTTTGAGTTTAGAATTTTATTTTTGAAAATAATACTTTCAAAAAGGGGTAAAGAATATGACGGAAGGTCAGCTAAATCCTCTGTTATTGTTGATGGCTACTTGAAGCGCTTCTTCCACTCTCTCCATTGTGGAATATTTAGGGAGGTAGAGGACACTAAAACATGTCTGTGCTCTTATGGGATCTTTTTCATTCAAATTTTCAGGACAGCAAAATGTTATCTTCATGTTCCTTAAGCCTTTTACTTGAATTCTGTCAGTTCCTGTAAGAAACACTAAAAATAAGAATAGAATTGAGTGGTCTATTTTACAGATCAAAATTTATGTCGTGAAAATGTGTTTACTCAAAAACAATTATTGAGGGTGCATGTACAGAGCCCCACCATATCGATGACCATTTCACAACAAAGTCTGACAGTCTCTGCTCTCAAGCATCACCGTCTGGTTGGGAATATGAAATTCTTATGCAGGAAAAAAGACAAACAGCAAGAGAAAAGTTAATGGTAAGACAGACACACAAGATGCCACAGACTCTGAAGCTATGGTTGAGCAGAGAGAGGCTGGGATGACAGCGAGAGCTCTGAGAGTCCTGAAATCAGGGGACCTTTAAGAAGGAAAAGGTTCAGAAAGCCAATGAAGGGGTGGGTGGAGGTGAAGGCAAAGAGCTTCCCAGTGAGCCTGAGAATGGGAGGGTGCAAGGTGTACAGGACTGGAACTGCTGGGTTGGGATAAAAACTTCTGGTAGGAGGCAACACTGGGAAGTTAGGATGGGCTTATAGAGAACCCAAAGATCGTCTAACATACATGTTAACCACAAACACAAGAACAAGATAATATGCCTCAAAAATAAGTCAGGAAATGGAGTAAGAAAATGAAAAAGCCATGAAACAAGTCTCAGGAAAAGCTCCAAGTAAGCATAAACCACTTCAACATCTGGGAGGTGACATAAACTGAAGCTGGTGTGGAGGGCAGTGACAGTACATGGCTTGGCTAATCCCACAAGACCCAGATAATGAAATGATGGCGCAAGCTACAGGAAGAAGGCTCAATATTTAATTTTGGCAAGAAAAGGGGAAACTTTGAAAAGCAACACGCAGGGCTGAAATCAACGAAGAGAGACTTATGCTAGCATTTGATTTTTTGATATTGGGACAACCTGGCTTAAAGGATATTCACCTGGGCAAGGAATGGCCATTACAGTATGACTTACTACAAACAGTGCTACTACAAACAAGATATTTTTTATTATATAAATAACACCCAAGACTAGAGAGCTACTCCTGATACAATACTTACCAAGAAATTTTTTCTTTTCTTCCAAAGTTAATTTGTGTAAAGCCTTCCAAAACATCACTATGGTGGGGTGTGAATTGTCATATCCTTGTTCATAATGTGCATTCTAGATAAAAATTTACACACAGATAAGTATTTGGGAAATAGAAACAAAATTTAAATTCATACTGTGGCCTCTCTGTGCACCTGTGCCATAGCAGCGGGAAGCAACGCTTCCGCACGGGGCCCTAAGACAAAGGCCACGTCACAAGGCAGCTGGGGGCGCCCAGTGACTGACTGTGGCCTGGTCTTAGGTGGTCTGAGAGCAGCTCAGAAATTCCATCAAATTTCTGCACAGGAAGCCCTCTTGCAAATATGGCTGACATGTTTCTTTCAGCTCCCCATAAAACTGGATTACCCTGTGTCTCCTCTGGACCCTGATCCTCCAGCTCTTGCGACATAATCATGTTCGTTTGTTACTATTAATAAACAGCAAGAGGGCTGCTCACTGAGCAGCAGAGTCACATCTTGCAGAGTTGCTCGTGACTTCTCCCACAGAGTGGCCCCAGGGATACACCGTCATGTTCTTGACTCAACATGACCACGTGGCCCTTACAATGTACCTGTTCAAATGTTTCCCAGTCATAATCTGTATTTCCAATAATTGCATCCTTTAGTTCTTCGGGATGGAAAAATTCAATGATCTCCTTATCACATACTTTGTAAAATCCTGTTTGAAATTCCTCATAAACTGCCATTACAGAGGTGTTGAAGATGTAACTGACACACTTAGAAACATAGTCTCTCCTTAAATGAAACAACAACAAAAAAAATGGTGTCATTTACTGACATATCCTGAACACAAAGCATGGTGGGGCAAGGGATGTTTGGAAGAAAGCTAAAACACCTAACACTGAGCACAAACCATGTGCACGGACAGTTATTTCCATATATTATCTAACAATCTAATTCTGCGGCAGATTCCTGTACCATTTTAGTGAGGAGACAGTTGAGGCACTGTGATGTTTGCTATATGATTGCTCAAGATCACAGTTAAGAGAATCAACACAGCCCCTTCCTGATGGTGCAAAGGGTTAGGACGAAGCACCACAAGCTGGCTGCAGCCACTTCAGTGCGAGTTTGATCACCAGCCTGAGGTGACCCACACGGTGCAGCAGACCTCTCCTGAGCCCCCGCTTCTCCCCTCAGCTGTATACTTTGTCAATCTGCCTGCTCTGCTCTCCACTCTGTCTCTAGTGAATCCTCTCACACACACCCACCCCCCCCACACCTCTGGCCTGTATCCCAGTTCTGTATGCATAAATAAATAGATCTTTTTAAAAAAATCAACACAGATTAACATACAGAAATTTAGGAATAATTAAACCTGACCTCCTGGCAGAGATTAGCTCTGGGGAATGAGCTTGAGAGATGAGCAGAATTTCATATTGATTTTAGACTCTTTTGTAAAGTCTCCACTTGTCAAAGTGAGTTAGTTACTAATATTATTTGTGGCTAAACACAAACAGTAGATTTGCAATTCTAGCTATGATTGAGTAACTAGAAAAGTCAGATAGTATACAAGCTATATATAGCTTCAGGCTTGAAAATCTTGAGTTAGGCCTCAAAAGGCCTGGACTGAAGAAAGGGAAGCTCACAGAAGGGGAATCCAGCACCTCAATCGCAACTGTTAGCGTTGAGCACCTTTGCCTATTTTTCATGGAAAGGAACCAGGCAAAATGTAGAGCCACGTCTACCATAATACTATGGATAAACTGGGCCTTACTCATAAATTATACTCTGGCACTATCAAAAGAACATTCTATAATGTCAAACTCTATTGTTAGAAATGGCATCCCACGTAATGTGACATGAAGTCAAGATACCACAATAATTTCCTCTACAGTTACTCCAAGTCTGCTATGGACCTCACACTGTTGTGACCACTCTGGGCACTGGATATACAGTGGAGAACAGAGCAAGTGCCTTCATCATGCAGCTCTGGGGAACAGTAAGTAAACAAATAAATCCTAAAGGTAAGTAATAAGTGATATGAAAAGAGAAAAATAAAACAGGATATGAGGATTCAAAAGTGAGAGGCTAGTGTATATCTGTAGATAGGCCTCACTGAGAAAAACACATCCCTTCCCGTTAACTATGAATTGCACATATAAACACAATAGACATCCAGTTCACTGTTTTATTGAAAAATGATAAACATGTAGTTGAATATTATAATTAGTAAAAGATTTTTTGAGTAGTCAAACAGTGAATCAACAAAAATATTTCTTTGGACTTACTTGTTAGTCTGGTTGACAATTCTGCAACTTTCATTAGGAATTAAGTCCACATCATTTTTATCCCAATGCACCTGTAAAACAAATGAACTCAGTATCCTGAACAATTTTTCATCAAAGAAGCACTTTGAGGCATACCAATTTTCTTTAAGAATCTGTAAAAATGTACACTTCTGTCATAAAACTGGCAAGAAATGTACAAATAAAAATTACCATCTGATGCAACGAGAAAACTGAATTAAAAACAAAAACCTTGATATATTTTAGTTGAACTGGTCATACTGAAAAAGGCAAAACCCACCAAATCTCAGTATTGACTTTCTGCTATGCAGACCTAGTATGATAGATTTGCAAAAAACAAGTGCCCACAAATTTCTACCATATTCATACTCAAGCATTTTTGGAAGGTGACTTTCCATCACCTCCCATCAAGATGGAAGTCAGTTTTTCCTGGCCTTAAATCTGTGTGTGGCCATATACAGTGCTTGGTTCAATGGTATCCGAGAGAAGCAAGAGCTTCCCCAAAACCGGTACATGTTGGCCCTGGTCACCTCATCCTGCTCTGCAACCCTGATACCATTGTGTGAGGAAGCATCATCTACTTTCAGAGAATACAAGGCAACTGGGACAGAGACAAGTTGCAATAATGGACACACCCCATAAAGCAAAGAGCCTGCAATGACCTGGCAAGGGAGTGAGGCCACTGTAGATTATCCAAGCCTCACCAAGCTGCCCCAGGCCCCCCAAATCCAAAGAACCACACTTGTTTTAAATCATTAAATTCAGGAGTTGTCTGATTTATAACTACCTCATTCAGCTCATGAAAAATGAGAAAAAAATTCTTTCCCACTATCTTAATTCACAAATTGTTTATTAGAATACTTAGGTAAGTAAAAGGTTAACGAGATTAAATCTTACTTACATTAAATAGGACAAAAAATACTTCCTCAAAATCATCGCCTTCATAATCCAGAAGTGTTTGCAATCTCCTAAAGAATAAATTCATTTTTGTTTTTAAAAATTCATGATCACTAGATATAGCATCTAAATTAAATGTCAACTGCACAGCTCTGGTGAAGGTGGGGAGTCGGAAACACTCGGCAGCACCTGTTTCTCCATGTAGTGACTACACCCGGCCAGCGCCCAATCAGGTTTAGAAGTTGATTTGCAATCTTACAGGATCCACACCTGATTCCCAGCTCTCTCCTCCATCCTGACTTTATTTACCTGTCTAGTGCAATTATCTAATTGTAAGTTTCTCTTTAGGAAAAGATTGCTAGATGGTTACTTATATGGTTAATTTAAGCTTTTGAACTGAGAGAATAAGTAAAGTAGCAGTTAGGAAATCTAAGTGAGGAGTGAGGTGGGGGTCAAAAAAGTGTGCTGGTCAAAGGACTCTCATAGGACTTCATGTTCTAATATTATCAAATTTCAGGTAAACATGAAATTTGACTATATTACTGTTTTAAGGCAATTGTGATAGTAGAGATTACATAAGACAGTTCTCTTGTGTCAGTCTCTTCATATTTCCATCCTGACATATGGTACTCTATATGTATTTTTAAAGTAATGGTCTCATATTGTATTATTTGTTAATTCACTTATTCTTTCAACAAACATTTAGTAAGTATTCAACGTACTGTCAACAACCACTGAGATGAGTTGGTATAATAGGCTGATGAAAGTGGCACCTGTTGTACAGTGAGACAGGTACAAACAAAAACTATGTAAATGACACAGGGCTTGCTTGTAAGAGTCTAGTTAACTTCTTCCAGAGGTGTTTACCAGTGCGGAAGGCCTCTGGGAGAAGGTGGAATCCAATCTGACCTTTTCCAACTGAATTTGTCATTCCAGTACTGTGATAACACAGATCACATTTATTCACTGCCTTATCTGGGGAGAGTCATGGGAGTCCAGAAAACTGGGTTTTATCATGATACTTTGTCATTGTATGTTCATGGCTTACAAACTTATATACAGGTGTGTTTATAAATTAATACTGGTGAGCACACCTTCCCCAAACAAGTACTAAAACTTATATGCACCAAAATTGCTATCCCATTTTTCTACCACCCTAAAAATGTGTTACAAATAACTATCAAATTCAGAAGTTTTTTTCTCACATAGAAATTCTTTACTCTTAGAGTTAAAATTATCAGTCTTTTTTTAAATGTTGGTACTTTTTAGGTCTTAAGAAATGAGGAAGTGAATACTATATTTGTCCATATTTTCTTCATTTTACATATTTTTCCCTAGTGCTCTATATACATCTTGACCCAATCTTCTATCAGCATGTACTCTGGTAGTCCCCACATCCAAGCTATAGGAAATAATGCCACAATACTGCAGAGGATATAATTCGAAGGTTGAAGGTTTCATGCTTGAGTAGATGTCTAAGAGTAGGGATGCTGGTTCATACAATATTTCCATTTTACCTTTTTAAAGTAAATCCAGATCACTTTCCAAGATAGCTGCACCATTTTCCATTCCTGGAATGGTGTCAGATGGTTCCTCTTTTTATGCCGCCTCTCTAGCCCTTGTGTTAGTGCCCTTTTAAATATGTGTCACTGTCACAGGCATGAGATGATAGTTCATGGTGTTTTAGACCTACATCTCCCTTATTATAAAAAGCAATAATAAACATTTTCCATTATCTACCGGCTTTCTTGATATTCTCTTTGGTGAACTGATTTGCTGCTCATTTATTAATAGAGTGGTTTAAAAAACGAAATATAGTTCTTTTTTACATCATTATTAATGTTGGGGCAATGTATGATTTCTCCCCTCAGGTGTGATCATTACAGTTCTCCCATCACCAAAGCACCCATGGTCCTTCACCATATTCCCTTGTGCTCCTTCAGCCAGTTTTCTCTTCCCCCACCTTTCTTCTCAGATACCTCACATCTATGGTCAGTTTTTGAGGTTTGTTTTGTCTGATGTATTGTTTTTCTATATTCCATATAAAATGAAGCCATCCAATATTCATGTTTTCATTTCTGATTTATTTTGCTTAGCATAATCCCTCCCAGCAACATCCATGTTGCCACAAATGGCAAGAGTTGGTTATTTTTGATCACTGAATAATATTCCATTCCATATGTATACATCATTTGATCCATTCACCTGTTTTGGGAAATTTATACTGTTTCCATATTTTGGCTATTGTAAATAGTACTGCAATAAAGTAGGAGTGCAGGTTTCCTTTAGAATCAGTGTTTTTGTATTCTTTTTAGAGACTTCTGGGAGTGGAATAGATGGGTTGTATAGCAGATCCATTTCTAATGTTTTAAGGAACTTCCACACAGCTTTCCATATCTGACATATACGAGAGATCTGTTCTCTCCATATCCTCACCAGCACTGTTTCCAGTTTGTTTTTTTTTATTAAAGATTTATTTTAGGGCCTCCCTGGTGGCACAAAGGGTTAAAGCACAGCACTGTGAAGCTGGCCCAGGCCGCTTTGGTGAGTATTAGATCCCTGCCTGGAGGTGATCCACATGGCACAGTAGACCTCTCCTGGCTCACCTGCTGCTCCCCTCAGCAGTGTACTTCACCGATCTGCCTGTACTGATCCACACTCTATGGTGAATCCTCTAACCTCTGTCCTAAACCCCAGTTCTGTATGCATAAATAAATCAATCTTTAAAAATATTTTATTTATTTATGCATGCAAGAGCTGGGGTGTAGGTCAGAGGTGCAGGGGTATGTGTGAGAGACAGGGTTCACCAGAGACAGAAGAGTGGACTGACTGAAGTACACTGCTGAGGGGAGCATCAAGTGAGACAAGAGAGATCTAGGTCTGCTACACCATGTGGGTCACCTCCTTGGCCAGAGATTGAATTCGTGCTGCAGTGGCTGCTGACAGCTTCATAGTGTTGAAACTTGACCCCTGGTACCCCCAGGGAGGCCTCCAGATTTTTTAACATGGGCCACTCTCACTGTTGTGAGGTGGTATTTCATTGCGGTTATGATTTGCTATTCCCTGATACAAGTGACAATGAACACTGTTTGATATGCCTATTGACCACTTGCATTTTTTTTGTTGGAGAAGTGTCTATTTAGCTTTCTGCCTGCTTTTTGATTGGGTTGTTTGTTTTTTGTTGATTTGTGTGAATTCTTAGTAGCTCATCACTATCTGCAGCTTATTAGATGAATGGTGTGCAAATATTCTCTATTTAATGGGATGTCTCTTGATTTTGCTGTACAGAAGCCTTTTAATTTGATATAGTCTTATTAAAAACTACTGAATTTAAGTTTTTGTATATCTTGGATATCAAGTCCTTGCTCATTATGTAATATGTGTCCATTTTTTCCCCCTACTTCTTGATCTTTTAATTTTTCCCTTTTTGTATGTGAAAGCTTTTGCTTGTTTCTTTTTTCCTTTTTTTTAAGTAACTGTTAATGTAATTATTAATTTTCCCCTTCCCATTTACTATTTGTATAAAAATGTAACAGATTTGTATGTAGTCTGTAAATTGCCACTTGGCAGTAACTACGTATTGTTTCTAACAGATTTTGGTGGAGATTTTAGGGTTTTCATTATAAAGTAACATATCACCTGTGAAAGTAGATTGACTTCTTTTACAACCTGGATTTCTTTTATTTACTGTTGTCTGATACCTTTAATATCAGGTGCTCCCTGGTAGCACAACGGGTTAAATAAAGCACCTAACAATGAAACTCTCAGAAGCCACTGCAGCACAAGTTTGATCCCACAAGGTGACCCACATGGTGTGGCAGATCTCTCCTGACCCGCCTGCTGCTCCCCTCAGCAGCGTATCTCAGTACATCTACTTGTTCTGCTCCCCACTGTCTCTGGTGAATCCTATTGCCCAGCACACCTCTAGCCTGTACCCCAGTTCTGTAAGCATAAATAAATAAATCTTTAAAACAAATAAACAAATAAAACCCCTCTAATATTAAATTAAATAGAAGTGATGATTGTCTTATCTTGTTCCTGACTTAAAGGAAAAGTTTTCAGTTTTCATAAATATTATTTTAGTTATAGATTATTCTGTTGAGAGCTTTGTATCTTACTATTTCCACCCTGTCTGGAGAGTTTACATAAATGGATGCTGAATCTTATCAAATACTTTGTGTTTTGGTATCATCATAAGATTTTTCATCTTTTCTTTAGTTGCTGTCACATATTACATTGATTTACATATATTTACTCAGCCTTAAATCACACTTGGTTCAGATATATAATCCTTGTAATGCACTGTTGAATTTTATTTGCTAGTATTTTTTGAAGATTTTTGCATCAATATTCATCAAGGATATTGGTCTGCAGTTTTCTTGTCCTGTCTTAGTGTTAGGGTAATGTAAGCATCATGAAATGTATCAGGGTACACTCGTTTCCTTGGGTTTTCTGAATTAATTTGAGCAACATGGGTCAAGTTCTTTTTTAAAAGTTGATAGACTCGGGCCCTCCCTAGTGGTGCAGTGGGTTAAAGCACAGCACTAAGAAGCTTAAGCCACTTCTGCATGAGTTCAATCCCCGCCTGCCCTGGAGGTGACCATGTGGCATGGCAGAACTCCTGACCCACCCGCTGCTCCCCTCAGCAGTGTACTTCGTCAGTCGGCCTGTTCTGCTCCCCACTCTGTCCCTGGTGAATCCTCTCATCCTCCGCATCTCTGGCCTGTACCCCAGTTCTGTATGAATAAATAAATAAATCTTTAAAAACAAAAAAAGTTTGATAGATTCATTTGTAGCCATCTGGGTCCCATGCTTTTTGGGGTGGGAGATTCTTTATTACTGTTTGAGTTTACATGATTGTGATTGGCTTATTTAATTCTTCTGTTTCTTCCTCATTTAATCTTGTAAACTTTATTAATCTAGTAATTTGTCCATTTCTTTAGAATATCAAATTTATTTGTGTGTATTTATTCATAATAAACTCCAATGATCTTTGCATATTTGTGTCATCTGTGGTAATTTCTCTTTATTTCTGATTGTGTTCATTATTTTCTCTCCTCTTTTTTTTGTTACTTAGCTAGATTTGTCTATTTTATCTTCTTGAAGAACCCAGACTCTCAGTTTCACTCATCTTTTGTATACTCTTTTTAATTTCTATTTCTCCTATTTACACTCTAATTATTACTTCTTTCCTTCTATTGAATGTAGATCTTCTTTATCCCTCTTTTTCAAGATATTGTAGATCCCTCTTTTTCAAGATATTTTAAGCAGCTGATTCGGGATTTTTCTTACTTCTTGAAGTGGGCCTAGATTGTAATTATCTTCCGTCTTTACTGTTTTTGCTACATCTTACAGATTTTGGTAGCTTGTAGTCTCATTTTTCACTAGTTTCAAGGTATTTACTTTATTTCTGCTTTAATTTCCTCACTAACTCAATAGTTACTAAGATGAAGGACACTCATATGCTTTGTCAATTTTTTCTGGATATGTAGAAATAGGACAGCAACCGTTTCTATTGTGTATATTGCCTTTCTGTCTGTGAGAAGTGGTATTTGTCTTTTAACTTATAAACAAATTCCATTTTTAAGATAATCACATGAAACATTTAAAATAAATATAATTTACAGACCTCACAACAAGTTAACCTGTGCTACTTATAATTGGTTTTATGCATATATAGTTCAAAGTCTAATGCAAGCATTGAGGCCTAGACATAGGAAAAATTCACTTTTCTTAATTTTAATATAATTCTTGCTGAAGTTAATTTAAGGTTGATTGATTGAAAGAATGTAGAATGTTACTGCTGAACATGAAAATACTATTGGGGTGTGAGTGTGTGTGTATGTGTTTAGATATTTGTCTGTGTTAGACATTGTCCTGAAAAAGAAACCATGCTTACTTACTTTCCCAAAACAGGACTCAGTTCTTTTAAATCTTCCAACGATGGTGTTTGGTTCAAAAGTTTCTTAAAGAGAGCCAGTGGGAAAGGGATGTTGGCAACATTGCAATTAAATACGGAAAGTCCACAGAGAACCCCAAAGAAAAAATATCTCTTCTTCTCAAATTTAGGCTGAAAAGACAAAACAATATAATGTGTTGTCAATTTTTATCAACACAATGGAATATTTATAGTAGGTAAAACTTTATTTCCCCACTGTGCCAGTCAAGTTACAAATTAAAAACAAAAAACGACAATTCTTTTTGGTGCTGAAGTTAATTAAAATCCCTTTACAGTTCTCTTTACTAAAAACACTAATAAGATTAGAAACACATTAAAATCAGTAAACTAAAGTGCTTACGATTTCTTTTCATAGACTGTTTAAACTATAAGAATAGAACTGAAACAAAAAATAAGTGCCTGAGGAAAGAAGGATTCATTTGTAAGTATTCATTCTCTAAGTAAAAACACATAATGCTTAAGTTTTCCTGTCTTTATTTTTAAAGAAAATAACCACTTCATAAGAACTGAAGTTTTTCTTCACAATTACATCTATAACTCTTCTCTTAATACAAAACAGGCAAGGAATCTAATGTCTACGGCATGTAATACCATGATTTTCTGCCTTGTGACATAAGCAAAGCTATGAGAACTAACCCTGACAGGAAACCACATGCAGGAAGCATCTTCAGGATATGCGAACATCCCATATTCTGGCCGGGTCATCTCTTTAAACAAACAATGGAAAAATTCTGTCTTGACCCCTCCAAGGCCATGTCCAATTTCTCCACTAAATGAAACCTGAGGAAACAGAATAAATAATATACTACTTCAAGGGTTCTGCACTGCTGTGTGCTAAATTTCACTTAAAATAGTAGTAATAGCTAAGGTTGTGATAGACATCTTATTGTTATTATAATATACCTTCTCATTTATTCCCTAAGAAGACAATGAAATTTCAAGAATTAAAATTTTTAAAGAATTTTAAATTTCCCATAGTTATATACCTGGTACAGCTTAGTCTGTCAAACTGACCTCAATTGGCATCACTACTGTAGCTATAACGTACAGTGAGTATAATGGAAATAAGCATAAATACACCATATATTAGAATTTTCAAATATCAAAAAATGGCATGTATAAGATAGTTATTGGTTGGTTCTCTGGATTTTATCATTTACTGCCTAAGGAGGGAGTACCTGCTGTAAACACCCATTTCTGCCTGAGATGATTATCATAACCCATCTTTGTTCCTTTAACTACTTGCTCTCTTCCTGCCTTTCCTTCTTGTAGTCCTTTACTTCATTTTCAAATGTGTTACATACGCTCTTGCTTATTCTTAAAGGAAAATGTCAACAAAGTTCAGCACCATGGTCTCCAGTACAGACAATATGAGTTCCTCCTACTCTAGATTTGCAAGATTCTGATAAGAATGTAGCCCACTTCCAAACCCACTGCTCTTCCTCAATACTTCTCTTTAAGGGGAGCAAGAACCTCGAACCCCTAATTCTAAGGACTTTTCTCATGTATCATCCCCTAGGTTGATAATTTCACACACTGACCCTTCTCTTCTTCCTTGCATTCTCTTATGAAACGCTATATTTCTCTCTTCTTATTTCTACTGCCTTAACCATAGAATTTCCAATGGTTCTATGCTCACATTTTCTGTCTTGTCTTTCTGGCATTTATCTAATGCTCTTTTCTTTTTAAATGTCATTTATCACAAGCTGACACTTAACCTTCATATGCATCCTTCTTTTCAATGATTAACACACACTCATTTCCAAAGTCTGCTCAACCTTTTCATCTGGATGTTCTCCTAGCACCTCCAGGTAGCACCTTTTTTGAATTCTATATTAGATGAATGCTATTCCATTTAGTCTCAGTTTCCTCACAACATCATCAGAAAGATTATGTAGGATAACATATGTGCAGGATAAAGAAAGATTGGCCAGGCTTTTATTCTGCCAGCCTCTGTGGCTATTGCCTTTGAATGCAGAAGGTGCTTGGGAGCTTGGGCTCGAGTCATGCATGCCAGTTGGTTGTCACCTGGAGTGTGGTGTGAGTCTGCATAGTGGGCATCACTGAACCTGGAGGCTGAGGCTGTAAATGCAGCATCACACAGATGACGACTACAGCATAATGGCTACTACAAGAGAATGCCAGTGAAAGCTCCAAGACAAAGCACACAGGTTCCCTAGGGGCTGGGATGCCTGCTAGCCTCCCAGACACACCCTCACTCCTACCCCAGCCTCCTTGACTTGCCAGCTGCAGGCTTGCCCCACAATAACTGGTGTAGAAAGAGCATTAAGCCTTGGAAAAGCCACTATGGGCTCCAGGACTTTCCTGTACCTGCCTGCCCAAATCAATCGAGAACCTGCCCTGTGCTTGCTGTCCTAACATTTAATATGCCTCAACTAGTATGGAAAAGGGTGACTGCTCATTGAGTGGGATCTGAATTTTAAAGACAAATGAATAAAATATTAAAGTAGAACTAACAGCTGAAGGGTCTGGTTTGTGGTTTGACACAGGTTAGAATCACATAGTACTCAGTTTTGAAAACTGTGTGCAAAAATTTGTGGAAATGCTAACTCTGGTTGCAAAAACCTATGCCCCATATTTTAAAAAGTTATCTTTAAGAAAGTCAAATTTTTTTTAAAAATCTGAGTTGGAGAACTAATAAACTATGGTCTCTGATAAAAAAGCAATAATAAGTATTAATCAAATCATTGTCTTAAATGGAAAGTTTAGAGTCTGATGGTAGGACCCAAATTCTGGCTGATACTTATCAGTTGTGTTTCTCTTGGATAAATTACCCAGTAGTGCTTGATCTCAATGTCCCCACCAATAAAAAAGGGTAAAACAGAACCCACCACACTTTTGAAAGGGTTAAGCAAGTAATTGGAGAGTATTTACAATAGTGCCTGGCACAAAGAAAGCATTCATAAGGTCTACTTGTCATTATTATTCAGTGTCAAATAATGACTAGCAGGACAAGTTATAAAGCAGCTAAACCAAAAATCACTTATGAATGCTCCAAGCATGCTAAGCTCTATAATTATACCCCCAAATAACCATGCAGTCAGACAAAAAAGAGAAGTTCCTCTCTCCTACTGAACAACCAACCGATGTTCCTGCCTGACTGCTTTAGCAAATCTTTGATGCCAACCCTGCCTCCCTGGGGCCCTTGAAAGTGCTGACAGCCAGTCCAGCAAGGTCAGGTCTCAAGGGCCTGAAATTCATAGGGCTAGTACTGGTCTTTCTGATTAAGCGGGGGAGGAAACCATTTCAACTGTTGCTTCTTAGCCCAAGTGTGGGGCTAAGTACCCACACCTATCATCTGAAATCAAACCTGGGTAATTAGGGTGGTAAAGCAGACCTTGGTGGCAAAGGGAGATAATTTCCCCTTTATGAGACCCACTATTAACATTTTTTTCATGCCCTCCTTTTCTCAGCAGCAAAAATATTAAGTGAGAATTATACTTTACCAGTAACTCTCTCCTCAGATCTTCATTTTCAAACTGACGTAGCTGATTCAAAACATCTTCAATCAAGTGACTCCTTCTGACTGTTAGACTCAAGGTGGGCAGCAAAGCTAATTCAGACTCTCTTTGCTCCATAATTCCAACCAACCTCATACATGCTCTAAATTTTTTCTCCTAGGACAAAGAAAGGTTTCTTTTTATTTTACCATTTGTTCTAAGTAGAAGCTCATAAAGTAGAATGCACTGATAAGAGTTCATGATAAGTGCACATCACAAATAGTTATGAAGAGAACCTCACATGCACTACTGGAGGGAAGCTGCACAGCCATTTACCCTTGGTGAGCAGAAAAAACACAGGACCTAAGGAGCAAAAAGTTCTAGAGAGCCAGACCAGCAGAGCAGCAAAGAGACCAACTGCAGGTCCCACTGAACCACTTCATCCTGTAAACAGAGTTATTAATACTTAGTCACCAAGGCTAATCACCATCAGCAGGCCGAGAGCCTGATTAGTATCCACTCACCTCTAGGCACTGACGCAGTGTGCTGAAATACCATAATCTGAAAAAAATGATCATAATTCAGGAAAGAAGTTCAGTTTAAAAAGAAGTAGGTTGCTGGGAGAGCTTAGGTATGAGTGAACTCTCTAATGATATCTTATAGTAGGAGGAAAATTCAGAGATGAAATTTTAGCTGATGGATAATCTAAGAAGTTAGTGCAAGATAACTAGAGACAGACACAAAGACATCTGAAAGCAAGTGGCCATTTGGGATCATTAAATCTGTGGCTCTGGGCAAATCAGAAAGCCAGCAAATGCCAGTTCCATAAAAGTATTATTAGGAGTTTGTTTAAAATCAGGAAAGAACAATTCTAAGAGTTGAAGCATGTTAAGTTCTTTTTTTCTTTCGATTATCCTTGCTAAATATTTCATTAACAGGGATATTTAGAACTCATATCTCAAGTTCTTATTTTACTTATTATAGTAAATGCATTATGCCAAAGTACCTACTTTTAGGACACATTTAAATATTATACATACAAACAGATGTGATAATAAAAGGTAATAAATTGGAGCACCTTGTGAGAAGCACTATTGTTAATGTTTTATCTATTGATATATTAACATATTTAATCCTTTAAAGTTGATATGAAGAACATATCCCAAGATATTTACAAATGTCCCATTTTAAGTTCAAAGCCATTTTGTTGTATCTGTTCTTAAATAAAAACAAATCAGCTGGTGACAGTACATTAAAAAGAGGATATTTTAAAAAACCTTCACTATGGGTTATCATCACAAAGTAAAAACAAGGGCTCAAATTTCAAGAATCATGTCACATCTGTTCCCAGTGCTGTCTTTTTTTCACTAGACTGGATCTCCTTAAGTATCAGTGCTAACCCTAACCAAGCCCAGTTTGTCATTACTTTTTAAGTACCATTCAGAAGACTCCAGGCACCAACTTCATGGTCAAAATCCCACAAGTAAGCCAGCTGCCGAAAATCTTTCCATAGCTACTGAAGAATTAATATGCCTTAGTGCTAAGCTAGTCAGATTGTTCAATTTTTATTTCCGTTTTCATTTGTGCCAGCTACTTGAATTCCTCCACCACTGGTTTCACCTATGGGTAGCTCCTTCATCACCCCCAAAATACTGTACATCTATCTTCCAGATAGTTAATGAAAACAAAGTAATGGGCATACATACCTGTATCTTTAAAAGCGAGTCTGCATATAGTAGCTTAATTTTGGACAGAAAATTTAAGATAAATGGAAAGTGACTGAATATGACAGGATACTGGGTGTTTACTGAAGCTTCCTAAAAAAGAAAATGACAGTAATTCTGGTCAATTATAGAACAGAGAATGCTTATGGCTTACTCCAGGCCTGTCAGCTTAAGATCCCAGTCCCTTTAGTCAAAGAAATACAAATTGCTATTTAATGCTACTGAGATACTATCCTGAGTCTCTATGTGTAAATTCTAAATGATTTTTTTTTAAAGATTTATTTATTTATTCATATAGAACTGGGGTACAGGCCAGAGATGTGGAGGGTGAGAGGATTCACCAGAGACAGAGTGGGGAGCAGAACAGGCAGGTCCACGAAGTACACTGCTGAGGGGAGCAGCGGGCGGGTCAGGAGAGGTCTGCCTCGCCATGTGGACTCCTCCGGGGCAGGCAGGAATCGAACTTATGAGGAAGTGGCTTAAGCTTCGTAGTGCTGTGCTTTAACCCACTGTGCCACCAGGGAGGGCCCTAAATGATTTTTTTTTTAAGATTTTTTTTTATTCATGCATACAGAACTGGGGTACAGACTAGAGGTGCAGGGCCAGTGAGAAGCTTCACCAGAGACAGAGTGGGGTGCAGAACAGGCTGACTGACGAAGTACACAGCTGAGGGGAGCAGTGGGCGGGTCAGGAGAGGTCTGCTGTGGGTCACCTCTGGGGGACAGGGAGTGAACTCACACTGAAGTGGCTTTAGCTTCTTAGTGCTTTGCTTTAACCTGCTGTGCCACCAGGGAGGGCCTAAATTCTAAATGTTTTATATATAGGTAACAATAAAATGTATTCAAACTAGCATTTTCAGTGCTCATTTAATTTAGCAATTAATTATAATCTCTGGATACAGTCCCAAGAGGTTACCTACACTTTCAAATGTAAATCAGCCCAGATGTATTTGGCAAATAGAGCAATGATGAAATATAACTAGCTGGTTAGCTTTCTATGTGATTTTGGCTAGGTAAGAGCTTCAAAGTGCTAGAAAATAGAACTATTACCCTCAGAGTGGAAGAAAATTCAGGTCAGTGTTGAGCTGGTAACAAAAGCACCTTAACTGTTTTTAAGAACATAAAAAGGAATACTTACAACCTGAGTACTCTCCCAAAGTCACAGCCCTCACTGCAGGTCCTGCTGAGCAGTGTCTTCCAGGCACATCTAAGAGCCTCTGTGCTCCGAGCCCTGATACTTTATCTCTATGCAGCCTTCCTATCCTCTTGGCATCCCATGAGCTGCTTGCTTGGATGGTTTAAGCTATTTCCCTAGTGACATTCACCTCTCTGTTAGTGTTCTAGTTATAAAACTGCATAGGTGTGTGTTTGTTTTGGGGGCGGTGGGGCGGGGCTGTCAGTCATACTTTTCTAATAGGCCTCCTATTTCTGTGGTGCAATTTTGCACAGTAGGATTTTTGGAAACTCACATAGAAAGTTACAAAAGAAATGTGTATTCTCTTCTTAAATATTCCATACTTACTGAGTTTCTTTTCCAAGAAGATCTTCTGTATGCTTCTCCATAAAAATCAAGCCAGTGCGAGAGTTCATTTACTTTGAAAATATTTTCAGGCAGTTGATATTTAGTTTGGTTTACCTTAAATAAAATATAACCTGTGAGAAAGTTTTACATATAATCTAGTTTAACTGCTATTATTTCGATTATCAGCAGCAATATAAACTGAACATTCTTTTACAGACCAAAATAAAGTTATAGCAATTCTTCTACTTTCAAAGTCCCAAATTTTCAGGAACATAAAAAATAATTAAAATTTAATAGTAAAGATTCATGTAGTGATAACTTCCAGTTATTTTGGATACATAGAAAAGTTTTAAAAAGCTTTTTACAGCCCTACCTGATAGTACAACAGATTAAAGTGCACCATTATGAAGCTAGACACAGCTACTTAAGCACAGGTTAGATCCCTGGCCAGAGAAGTGGCCCACATGGTGCAACAGAACTCTTCTGTCTCTCATGCTGCTCCCTTCAGCTTCTGTCAATGTCCCTGTTTTGTTCCCCACTTTGTCTCTGGTGAATCCTCTCACCCCCCACACCTCTGGCCTGTACCCAGCTCTGTATGTATAACTAAATAAAAACAAAAAATAAAAATTTTTTGTCCTAAGAAAATAGGGCAATATGAATTCAAAGTACTTTGGGACTCAACAGTTCATGTCTTGTTCTTTAGCGATTAACAATACATAATTTGTAGATGTTCTACTAGAAATGTTACAGGGTACCCTAGTGAGAACTGGGCTGCCTGTGTGTGGGTCCTTGCCCGCGCACCTAAAATTTAGTTGTACTGCAGCCACACACAAAAGGGTCAAATAATGGGTTATTTACAAAAGGGGAAAAGAAAAGGAACAACCCAGGGAAAGAGAGAGAGAGAGAGAGAGAGAGAGAGAGAGAGAGAGAGAGAGAGAGAGAGAGAGAGAGGGAGAGAGCCGTAGAAAATGGCGCCCTATTTATCCCCCAAAGTCCCAGAATGCCTGCTTCGCTCCACCCGTGGGTCCTCACAGTTCTCTCCCTGGTACTGCTGGGAGTTGTAGTTTCCAGTTACTGAAGTAGGAGGTAGAGTCCACAAAACCCTGCAGAGTTTCTTTAGGACATCCTTCCCCATAATAGAAAGACATAGTAGAACATTCCTCTCCTAATCTTAAGAGAAATTTTCTAGCCCTCCACCCCCTGAAATGAACAGGGTTACTATGGCATGAATATGAACATTCTAGCATAGCATCATGTTCATCATTAATAAATGTAGGAAAATGAAAGCGACTCCATCATGTATCTCTGCCATCTTAGGCCCACAACTGACCTACTATGGGGAGATAACCAGTTTCCTCACTGATTCTTTCTCTGTATTAACCTGTACAGGTGATCCTGCAAAACTCATTAATCTTAGCAGAACAAAGAGGTAGATGACATACCCACTACCCTCACCCTCCACAACCCAGACATCTGGAGTCAGCAGTCTCACATAAAAATGGCCACATGTACTAAGCAGGGTGAGCACCTGTCAGCATGAGTGATTATAGACCCTACCTCAACTAATGTATATTAATTCACTGGCTTCCATGCTGAGGAGCTCCGCATATAAGATGCCCTTAATAAATTTCAAGTATAATTAATGGACATGTCAACTTTGTTGTTGGACTCAAATTACTTTCTCAATTTCAATTATAACACAAGTAATAATTATGCTAGATCCTTGTATGTTTGACTATTAGCGTTTGACTTGGATGTATCTAGTCCTGGCCTAAGGTGACTATAATTTTCAGGTCTTCTGTAAACCTTACCTGGTTGTTTA